TATTCTTTATCATCTGCATCAATATTTTCATCATCAAGACTCATCATACTTGATGAACTTCTAATAGTTGCAGATTCCAAAACACTTGTTAATTCTGTTTCACTTTGTGATTCTCTTTCTAATAAAGTATCAAAGTTAATATTAGAGATATTACTTGCTCTAGCTTTAGCTTCAGAAGTTTTAAAGGCTTCAGAGTTTTGAGCCATCTTTTTTTAAGAGCTCTTTTTTCTTTTCTTCAATTTCTTTTATATGGGCCTTCATTTTTTGTTTAGTTTAGTACTAATCTGGTTCATCATAATCATCATCATCATCATCATCATTATTATCTGATTCAATTTTATCTCTTTTTAATATTCCTTTATGCCAACCATATTCTCTACATAGAAATAGAAAAGGATATGCTAAAGGATCATATGTACCATGTAATTCAGATATTCTTTCTAATTCATCATCATGTCTTACAATAAGAATATCTCTTACATGCATAGTTTCATCAGAAAAACAAATTGCAACTACTTTCTTAACTAATGGTGAATTATATTGTCTCATATCTTTACCATGCTTATTATGTATTAAAATATAATATAGAGGATCTTGTAAATCCTCATTTTCTGCAGATATATAAGTATCTACAAAAGGATTTAAATCTATTAATACATTTTGGATAATACTTATCATTTCCCTGTTTAATGATTGCTTCATTACATCATGTCTTCTATCAATTTGTGCTTCAATATCTAAAGAATCATGAAAATATATTTGGGAAAATTTGGGTATTTCTCCTTGTTCTGGCAAAGCTGAGCTAATTTGATGATACTGAATTCTATAGCAATAGGCCCCCTTTTTTTCATTGGCAACATCCAAATCTAAATCAGTAGCAATTGATATAAAAGCAAATGCTTGATTATATGCTCTTATTTTGTCAAGAAATGGTACTTTAGATATTGGATCTTTTTCTGTAAGAAAATAATAAATTTTTGGTGGTGGTGCTTAAAGTTGTGCTAATATAACTTCACCATTCATGCAACAAAGTCCTGGTTTTTTTCCCTTCTATCTTAACGCCCTACAATGTTCACATTCAATGTCCATTTTCCCCACACTATGCCACTTATTGTTCTTTTTATTATCTCTATCATCATCATCATCATCATTATCATCTTTTTTACTATTATCCTCATCATTATCTCCACCATCATCCCCATTATCATCTCCATCATCATCTCCATCATCATCCCCATCATTATCTTCAACCTCCTTCTGATATTCATCTAAACTACAATATCCTATTTTATAAAATTGTTTAAATTGTTCTTTTTTTTGCTTTTTGTATCTTTCTCTATCTTTTTCTTTTATTTTTTCTTTTTGTACTTCACTTAAAGAAGCTCTATGTGCTTGTTGTCTATCTTTTTGACCTTCTTTTGTTTTTGCTCTTGAGTTTAATGATGCTTTAGAAGCTTTAGAAGTTTGGGATCTTGTTCTTGTTGAAGGTTCTGCAATACTTTGGTTTAATTTTTGATAATGCATATATTTAGCTTGTCCTTTTCTTTTTAATCTATTAGACCTTTCTGTTGCAGATTCATCATTAGATTTTTCTAGTTCAGGACAGTGATAGTAAATGACCTGAAATGACCCAAATGACCCAAATGACAAATGACTAGTCATTGGGTCATTTCGAAACCAAAATGACTTAGAGTGTTATTTAACATATGTTAATTGATATTCTGTCACCCTTTAGCCAATCAGAATTTGCCGCCAAACAAAATATAATCGATAATCGTAGCTATTGTTATGGGAAGAATCGTATATTCTATAATCTATACTATAAAAATATAGACTTTATGTAATAAGGCAACTCGCCAGAGGCGTGACGTTGGTGATTTGGTTCATATAATATAAGGAAATTATTATCAGGTTAGTGATCTTATGTGCCCCTTCCTCGCACATAAATGTTGTCACCAACCTTATCTAAGTTACGTCCTTTATATAATATTAGAGGACTAATGAGGCTTAAACAAAACTCACCTTATTGTATAGTGGCTTAACTTCTATTGGCCGAGATCTACTTATCACTGAGATATATATATTATAAATTATCTAAGCCTTCGGCTCTAAATTATAAACTTGTTTGACTATAATGTCAATCTAGCCTGTAAAACTATATATTAAAGTTAAAATTTTTACTAACTAATATTTATATAAAGCTGTCCGAAATAATAAATTGCATATATTCTGAAATTTTCATGTAAACTGAAGAAATTTTATTAATTCACTTCCACGCTTTATATTTATATAAAAGTTAAAAAGTCAATTTATAAATATTAATTGACTTTGACTTTAATACATATATATCGATTAGAAATGAAATAAAGTTTGATAACTTTTTAATGAACAATTCAACCAATAAAATTATTTTATATGCATGTAAATAAGCTTAATGACCTTGTTATGATTTGATGTTTAAATCTCGATCAAACAACCGGATCATTTACCATTCATGGGTTGGGTCGGGCATAAGAACTTTTATTAAGCTTGAGCTCGAGTATACAAATACCCACTTATTTAGACTAAATGACCCTAAAATGACCCCGGTCATTTTTAAATAACCATGGTCATTTGGTCACGAGTCATTTCCAAATAACCCAAAATTGAGATGACCAATAATGACCGGTTATTTCGGGATTATTTGAGATCATTTGAAAAATTTGCAAATAACCAGGTCATTTACTATTACTGGTTCAGAATATGTTTCTAAAATATGTTTAGGAGTAGATAATTTTTCTTTTTTATTTTTCTTTTCTTTCTTTTTTTTCTTTTCTTTTGGCATTTTCTATCTCAATAAAAAAAAAATTTATAATAAAATAATTA